AAGCTGGCTACGGCGATGCCTTCTGACCGGCGGTATATGCGTCCGTTTTCGGTGCTCTTGTAACTCCACTTTGTGCCTGCGCCAGCGTCGAGAAGCACACTCACGAGGAAGAGGTCGATCATGCGCCGACACTTTTCGCTGTTGTCGACATCTTCGGGGAATGTGGAAAGAAGCTGTGCAATGCGGTCACGACCACCGACACAGAAGTGCTGGTGTCTTCCGTGGCTAGGAATCGAATTGTACGGGGCGTCGTAGTCTCTCTACAGGGGTTTGCAAGGTCAGTATACTGCTATTCGCTGACCCAAATAGCGTGTTGGTGGGCGGTGCCAGGGCATGCAAACACCTGCAAGCGCCCCAAGGCTGACTCGTACCTTGATGATCTGAGAGACGAACGTCACAACGTCTGGGAACTTGCGCATGTCCACGTCAAAGTGCTTCAATTCGTTGCGGATCGCCTTGTCCGTGACAATCTTGCTTCGTTCTCTAACCGCCCCCAAGCTCCTGAGGTATCCTGCCGGGTCAAGCTGCGGGTCAGGAGGACGCGGCATGTCGACCTTGGGTATCGAGGTAGGCGAGAAAGGCGTCAAAGGCGTGCCGGGCGTCGTGCTCGTTCCGGAAGACCTGTTCATTGTAGTGCTGCGTGGCGGTGGTGATTTGATGCTGGAAGCACCAGAGGCGATGCTCACGTTTGACGTGTTGATCGATGGCTTGCCCGAGGCTTTGGGGGCCTTTTCCTTGCGAGAAAAGAGGCCCATTTTGGCTGAATGAGTGACCGCTGGGTCGAGGGGCTCGTGAGATGGCGGTTGGTGGGGTTTCGCTGGGGGGGTTCAGGCGGTGCTGAATTGAACTGAACTCGGTTCAAGGCGAAGCTTCCGAGTGGCCAGCTGGTGGTTCGAACTTTGGCCAGCTACAAGCTGTGCTGTGGCGACACAGGCCTGTTGCGACGATCACCGTGGCCGGGGGGTGCTTCGCTTCCGGATCCGTCAGGTGAGTGGACAGGCGTGTTGTCCTTATTCGCTTGGCCAACGATGCTGAGATGGCGAGAGAGAGAGATTCGGAGGTGGACGACGTCGATTTGCAGCAGCGGCGGCGACAGCAGCAGTGGGAACAGCAGTAGGAACAGGGACAGAAGGGAGGGGAGACCAGAAGTTGATAAGTCGAGGGTCTGCCACGCAAGTTTAATAGGGGGCGGTTTTCTGGACTTGCGGGGAACAATATCAGCAGTCTGCTTCTGGAGCCGTGAGCAGCTGGTTGCGCACGAAATGTCCAGGCCCTCTCTTGTGCTGGGGGGGCTTGTCTTGTCGTGCTTGTCGGGGGGAGGGCTACTCTGGGCTCAGGGACCGATTCCCTTATTGGTGTTAGAGTTCTGGCCGACGTCGATCTGGATCAGGGATACCCGCTGGAGCTAGATGAACTGCTTTTGGCCTGGTTAGCTGGAAAAATGTCGAGCCACCTTGAGCCATTCCCACTGCGCCCACGCCGGACACAGACAATGAACAGACACGCAACCGCCGGAAAAATGGCACATGAAGAAAAAGAATTGGGGCTAATTGGGGTGGCATGGTAAGAGGATAGTTATGCAGACAGTGGCAGTAGAGGCGTGTTAATGAGTAAAGGGCGACATGCGGTCCGTAAAGTAGATAAGGCAAGCTGCTGCCGCGTTTCCTTTCTTTGTACACTTTCCATGTGTCTGTCTTGTACATGAAATCCTGTATCCGTACATTCTGGATCTGCCTCGGACTCTTGAAGTTCACCATCGTGGGGCACACTGGCTCGCAACCTTGTTGTCGGCCATCTGGCACACCCCTAGTGCCCCCTCGCAGCGCTATGCAAGCAACGATCCGGGGCATTTGCCAGGAACGCAGAGCATAGACATTGGGTGCGAATTGCGGCTTTGCGGGAGGCGGGGAAATGACTGGAAGGAGGGTCTCAACACTTACGGATACTTGGATCACCTCTGACATGCTCTTTTCAGTCTTCTCTCAGGAGGTGTGGGTCAATGAAGCAGCAATTGATGTTTTCTAACAGGTGGTCTGTCGCAAAGGGTCTCGTCCTGTGTCTCGGTGGTGTAGCTGGCTGCCGTGGCGCGTAGAGAAGGAAGCACGCAGACCGTTGGGGCGCGACAATGATGAGTGCAGCAGCAGTAGTAAGTAGTATATTGAGACTTGAAAGTGAACGCCGAGACGGGGTCGATATTGGCGTTGGATGTCGAAGTCCACCGGGACTATGAAGCTGGATCTCGGACGGTGGGGTTGGCTTTGCGGAGAGAGATTTGGCAGCGGGAGCGAGGGCGATAAAAATGATATCCGTCCGTCGACCGGATCTGAGCTAGGCCAAGCGGGATCTCAGAGGCGTCCAATGTTTGCGGTAGTGGAAATGAAGATCAATATGCGGCCAATCTAGCAGGGGATGCAGGCGCGGCAGAGTTGCTTGACACCACGGAACTTTCAGAAGCTGATTGAGAGAAAAAGCAACCTCTTGGAGACAGCGCGGCCAACAGCACAACGTCAATGGCCAATCGGGCTCGGGTAAGAGGCGAGCGGTATCAAGCTTAGCCTCTCGGAGGCTAACCGCCGTCTATATCGGGTGAGGTGGTAGCGTACGTGTATGATGTTGAGACAAGGCGACAGACGGGCCAGGTGGGTGAGGCCAATGCTGCTGCTGTATTAGATGGAGTTAGATGACAACGTCTCTGGTGTAAGGAACTCTCTGAACAGGCTGCAGATGCTCCGCGCAGGGTGTATCGTGTTGACAATGAGGTAGGAAGAGAATGCCCAGGGAAGAGTACAGAGGACAAGAAGAGGTGCGAGTCAAGAGGGAAAGGCTCCTCCAGCAAAGTGGGCGGATGTATCTGCAGAGGGACAAGATGAATGAAGGAAGCTCTGTGTGGCATGCGGATTGTCGATTGGGGACGATGCGCGGCCCAGGCGAGGCCAGGAACGTGGGGACAGCCGTGGGTGTGTGAGGTGGGCGTGGATAGAGAAAGCTGCGGCGAAGCAAAACAGAATACTCCGTACCTCAGGTATTACTCCGTACTCTGTGTCCGTACGGATACTAAGCAGGCAAGTAATGTACCTTGCGCCGTGCGGATACCTCACCCTACCTTACCTCAAAGCTGGGACAGGATGGGGCAGAAGGAGGAGCAGAATGACGGACGAGGATCGGATGGCATAAAGGCAAGCCGAGGAAGACAAGGAGCAAGATGGGGACGGGGCAAGATGAGGACGGTTGATGGGATGGCAGACTTGGGGGTCGTCGCGGCAATAGAGTCAAAAAGACGAGCGAGAGAAAATATCGAAAAAGAGCCACCTTGACTTACTGCGTACGAGTTACGACCTTGCAGATGGATACAAATGCAACTGAATGGATCTTCTTGGGTCGATAGGTCGGGGTCTGTCTGCAGCTCTGACGACCGGGAATAGCCCTCCCTGGTCTACGGTCTCTTTGCTTTGTTTTTTGTCTCCTTCCAACGGGAAAAAGAACTGTTTGCCAGTGCGCTCTCGGCTTGGTATATCTCGCGTCAAGAAGAAACAAATGGAGCGTACGATGGAGAAAGTTTCTGATGGAGTGAAATCGAAAACTTGGGATGAATCTTGGTAATTTCAGACTGAATCAACCTGAGAGATGGCAAGGAGAGAAGGAAGGAAGGCAGCACAGTACGTACCGGGGACTTGCCTCGCACCCGACTCCATCCTTCCCGTTCTTTCCACACCACGTAACGTACCTTCCTACCTTCCTACCTACCTTCCTGAGATGCTCCACGAAGCATTCGAAGCACCTTCCTTGGGATATGAGGACGGTCGAGATACCTTACTTGAAGAAGTTCCCGGGTCCTACCTTATTGAGACGTGAGGAAGTACCAACCCATCCAGTAACCTTTCACTTGCGTCAAATCCCGTACTTTTTCCATGCCTGATTTCTTTCTCTTCATCCCAAGTTCAATGGACCCCGTGATCTCACCTAGTAGGCTACTACAGACTCATCTCGCAAGGGACAGACAATGGTCCCAAGGCCATCAAACCGATCTTCAGACAAGTCAGACTCGTCCCCGACCTTGGGGACGGCACGGGAAGGAAGCCACAAGACTCCAGAGTCTGGCGGGGGCGTTGCAGGGAATCCTGGACCAGCATACAATGAGGGACTTTACCGTCTTGCGTCTGCATCCAGGCATATCCACCAATCAATACTCCATACAAAGATCTTGGTAAATGTACATCTCGAGTTGAGTTGTCATGGAAGTATGCTGCCGTCTGCATATGCCTACACTAGAGACTCGCGAGTCGCAGAGGGCCGATGTCGAAATTTCGAGGTACGAGGCTCAAGGCTCTAGCTGCTCGGACATGGAGAGAGTCTCCACTTGATCACTGTACCTGAGAAGCTGCCACAGTGTGTCGGTTCCGATTCTCCTCAAGCTTTCAGTGCATCGAGCCACTGGATTGGAATTAGGCGAAAAAAGTGTCGTCCAATGTCTGCAGCCCGCTAGACAGCCCCGGCCAGGGTGGGTCCTCGGCTCCACCAACGCGGACTTTGGACAATTGAACACCGGACGGTCTGGCCAACAGGCGGAAGGCTTGCGGTTCCAAACTTGTCCCGCGAAGTACATGCAGGGTACTTCAGTACTTGCCTCTACGTACCTATCTTTACTGAGTGTCCACCTTTCAACGCATCTTCCAATTCAGATGAGTATTTTCTTCCATTTCGCTGGTTAGTTCCAGACGCAAAGATAGGTGCAGACCAAAGGCCCCTTTCATGGTCAAACAAGTCATTATCTCCGCTACTCATCTCTACCGCAACACTTCCAGAATATTGAGGCGCCATTAGCTTCCACATTCAGATACATGGCATCGACGCCCGAGGGAAGCCACCACTGGTGCACCTTCCATCACCTCCCTCACCTTGATGAATGCACAGACCGATTGACCGAGGTACTCACAGTGTCTTTTTGGTGCCGTCATCTTCCCCAGATCATCACCTAACGGATACCCATCAATCCATCACCCATGGGCCATCCCATCAACACCACCCACCCGTCCATCGTCATCCTCAATCACCACGCCACCAACAACGACCAACACCACTATCGCTGCGACCTCACTGCTGATCTGGCCCACCTCTGCAAATCACCAACTGATTCAGTTCCTCATCTGCACCCAAAGCTTACTCTCCAGCCAGCCTCCAGGGGACCTCATCTCTTCTGCATGCGCCTCGTCAAGCAAGGGACCCCCCTCCGGAATCACTCCCGGCGGCCCATGACAATGTCTTGACTCTTGCTACTGCAGCATCATCATGCTCCCTCCTCGTTGCTCAACCACGCCTCATACCTGCGAAACTGCGACAAGTCATATCAACACTGCGGCGCCCCAATAGAGGGCCACGATCAATGGCACTTGCTGCAACGCCCCAATTACGGCTGCTGTACCCATACAGTGTGATCGATAGACGTGCTACGATAGAGCCCGGCAACCGATGCTCTTCGTCGAGATTTTCTCTCCTTCTTTCTGAACCCATCCATGCTTTGTATGGATGGACAGACTCCAGTCGAGCTGTAATCATGGTACGATCGTTCCATAGGTCCCATATTCAGAGCCGGGGGCGCTACGGAAAGCTCCCTAGTCACCAGTGGAACGCAAAAAACCGACCAATATGGGGCTCTAGAGGCCGAGGCGAAAACGTGCCCAAGCACACAAGAAAACGCCTAGCTCTACACAGCTGTAGCGAGTTTGCCGCTGCCTGCAGCCCAGCATGCCCCTCGACTTCGCTGTGTGCTCATCATGCTCCATTACGACCATAACTCGCCCGACCCTTGGGGCAATGTCGATTTCTAGTGGTCCTTAACGAGTCGATTGCTGCCATGGCAAGCTGGTAACAATGCAAAGTCGTGGAAACCAACATGGGGGGGTTGGGGGCCAGGCGTGGCAGAAAATCACATCGCGGCGCGGAGAGCAGTAAAAGCCCTGCTAAACGTACTTAGGCCATGCATTACCTACATGCGCCCACCGTCGTGTGTGAGCGTCGCCGGCATCTCGGAACCACATCCTGCTCTCCGGTCCATCAACCACGGCTCACACTCGCCTCCTTGCCTGCTTCGTGGCTTCGGTTGGTCGAAAATGTGATGCCCTGGCTGCTAAATGCCTATGCAGTACGGATCACAGTCAGCTCCAGTCTGGCTCTGTCCCGTAAAGTCCCCGGCCAATCATTCGCAACGCGTCTTCGCACCGGGCCGAGCAGCAGGAAACCTGCGAAATAAGCGTACTCCGTACCGAGGTCGAGAGAAGAGAATTCAACCAAGTCGGCTGCCTAGAGTTGGTCGCCGGCTCGCCGTTACCCCTTCTCCACCTATGTCTGCCATTCTGGTTCGTGGACGGTGGTTGGCAAAGGAGAAGGTCGTTTGCTCCCGAGTCCCAGATGCAACGTCGGCCGCCGCGCATACATGCAAGTCCCAGGTCCATCTCACTTCGGCTACTTGGTCCTGTAGCTGACCGCAATCGACACTCGGGCTTGCGGACAGGCAAACAGGAAAGCAAACGGGCCGGTAGGGAGTACCCTCGAGGGTCTCTCCCAAGAAAAAATCTCAAAAATTTTCTTCTGTTGTCTCTGGGGGCCTGGAAGGTTCAAACTGACAGTATCCTTACCAGGGACCTGGGCTCTGTGGGATGGGAGGATGGCCGGTCTGTGTTGCAGTGCAGCCGAAGTCTGCAAGGTACGGGAGACTGTGCACGTTTCTGGAATGGCCCGGACTTTAGCTGCATGCCGCAGTGCGCCGCCCTACAGACTCGAAAGTTGAGAGCCAAAGAGCAGACTTCAGACGTTCGCATGGTGGTTGTGGACAGTTGGCAGCCATTTGCACTAGTGGTGCCTCGCAACGTTTGAGCATTGGGCCACGGGCCGCAGCGAGCTGTTCGCAGAAATGAACCAACTGCCAATCCCTTTTGCTAAAAGCCTGCACTACGGTGTACACTGGCAACCAAGTAATCGTACGAAGTACGTCTGCGGCACGGCGTAAGGTCACATCGAGATGTGCATGCGCAGACAGACTCTAGCAACTTACCGTCACATCGAGGACCTCGATTGCATCAAGCACCTGCTTTCTCTACCGGATGTTCTATGACGCGACGCAGGACGCCTTCACCTCTTCTGTCACAGCCCACGGCCTTTCCCGGTTCAAAAGAGCCATGGAGCTCCCACCTCGTCCTTGGGGATTCAATGGAGGCACAATTAGTCAAGTAAATCCCTAGAACGCGCACCAACCAACCAAGTGCCAACCAACGCATGAGACGCCACAAACTCCAAGGGACGGACTTGAAAGCACAAAAACGTGTCGAGACCGGGATGAAAGGAGCCTCGTGCGCACTTTGCCTCGTGTTCTCGGCACACAAGCACGGACATCCGGACCCTTGGGCGTTTGCTCAACAGCAAATAGACGTCTCAAAAATCAGTTTCTGCAAATTCGTACTACGAAACCGAGGTGAGAGGACCATGATGATTGACTCCTGATCATCTTGTTACTCCGTAGAGTGATGGAGCTTCACCCCTATTGCCTACCAAGTTCATGACTCTCGGGCTTTCACTTGCGCTCAGGACCTTCAAAGAGGATCCCTCCGCTGTGGAAACACGTCGATCCGACCGCGCTTGGCGTTGCTTCTGACAGCTTGCTCGGTGGACGCCAAATTCAACGACAGATCAGGACAGTCCGTGTTTGCGGCACGACAGCCTGACATAGTTTTTGCTACTAGGACCTCAACGCAGCAGCACGGAGACGATATCGTATCATGACATCTGGTAGAGCCTCAAACTAGAGAAAACTCAGTGTCGCTCATCGGCTCGTGCCACTTTCTTCACCACACCGAGTATGATCAGGCCCACTGCACTCCTCCTATATCCTTTCAATGCTCCCATCACGACGCCGCCCTTGGCCCGGTCATCGAGGAGCTTAGGCCCAAGGATGCTCAGTGTTGCCCTGGACCCGGCCCCCAAGGATGGCCCAGCTTCTCGAATTTGAAGAAGAGCCCCAGACCGAAGGCGGCTAGCCGGAAAGGGAAGCTGCAAAACCAATCTTACAATTTAAAATCGCCTGTTGAACTTTGCCATGTTCTTTGTCCCATGCGCACTTCAGCATGGCTCCGCTCCCGGCCTGCCTCTCTGTCGACGATATTTCTGCTTTCGGGTTATCTCGCTGGGCAGCTGGACCTCCTTTTCGCCTCCCTGCCAAGCCCACCTCGAATACGCAAAGAGGCTTGCTGGTTGACGAGGGCGCACGCCTCCTCTAACACGTTTCCGGAGAAAACTCCGCCTTGCGCGACGCTGCCACGAGGTGGCCATGCTGAGCGCACCGAGGGTCTGGTTCGATGGCGCTCGCTCCCAAGTACTCCGTTATGACATTGCGCATTTGTGAGATCAGCTGTGTCCTATGCCGGCAGTTGACCCAGTCGTATGCGGCGCTGGCATGGCTGGCCAGTGCAAAGCCTGTGAGACATATCCAGCACGATGAGTAACTAGTCACCGGTCGGCGCGACCCTACGATCACCAGGGAGAAGATCTGCCAATTTAGTGATCAAAGGTGTTCGGCGTTCGCCCACCGGTCCAATTTGACGTTGTTCGGTCATTCGGCGAACGCCCAGTCTATTGCTTGGGACATTTGACGTCGTCACTAGACCGTGTCTCACTTGTAGCCGGAAGAAGCTCAGACCTTTGGTGTCGTCGATCACCACGGTGTGTGTTTAGGGATTATGACGGGATGCCATGTGAACAAATTCCTCGATATCAGGACAACGAACGGTCATCAGAGCACCCGGTGCCGGAATATGTCCTATCCAGACTCCCGTCAAAGTCTCGGAGTGCCTGTTCACCATGGCAATACGGGATTCAGGGAGCGCGATGGCATCGCCTCCCGGCTTGCGGACGTTAAGAACCACATCCTACGCCCACAGAAACCATTACGAGGTCGAGATGATCAAAAAGATGGACGATCTGGGAATCGAACCCAGGACCTACCGCATGCTAAGCGGTCATTATACCACTAAACCAATCGCCCATGGCATGATCTAGCCCGGACTTGAACCGGAGACCTTCAGTGTGGCAGAGCGCAGAGACACAAGGCTCTCGTACTGTTAGACTGACGTGATAACCAACTACACCACCAGACCAGTTATTGTTGCAAGCGGGCGCCGGTTTCTGCATCCTTGGCTGCGCGAGCGCGAGGTGGTGTGGGTTGAGGGTTGCAAAAATTTGCAAACGGCTTTGGCAGGGTGGGTCGGGACGGGAGGTCCCTTGCGGTGGAGGTCGGAGCCGACCGCCGTCGACCGCAGTGGAGTTGAGTTCCGACGAACTTGTCGCTATTTTTAGGAGTAACGGAACGACCAGACGAAGGTTAATGTCGACGCGGAATGAGGATATGTTACCAGGGCGCCTTTCTTCCCTCAATGTTGGAAACACCACTGGCTTCTGGACTTGGGTATTATGGTTTCGACTTGACTGAAATGGACAAGTAAGTTTATTTGATGGAAACGACTGCTGTGAGATTAAATTGCTTCCAAGGTAGCTTAGGATATCATGCGCAGCATTGCCGTTTAATGTTGGAGACGACACCCTAGCATAGTCATACTTGTCGCTCTCAGTAACTTCCTCAACTTGGATACTTTGATCACGAGAACGTCTAGGCCAGCGTTCAGAGTCGGAGTAGTTGGTTCTTCTTGATACACCGCACCAGTCTTGCCACGAATGGCTTGCCAGTGGCTCGCCGCCTCAAGCCGTTATCTTACTTCAGCGATCAAGTCGACTACGTTTATAGTTTGCGAGACTCGGATAGACTAGTCCTGAAGACCCTGTGCTGCTACAAGTATCAACCGCAGGTGCTCTGCTGAGAAATCGAGAGCAGGGCAGTTAACGGGTGGGCGCGTCCAAACGGCGGACGGGTAACAGGCGATGATGCTAGGGCAAAGTCTCCACTGAGAGAGAGCTGAGATGGTCGTGAGATTTGCACATGGAAATATCATGGCATTTCACAGTAAAAGTTCTCGCCCATCGTTGACCAATGGAAGTCTCTGTCAGGCTTTAGTCCGAAATGCCATAAGATGCGATATCTCGTTTGCTGGTGAGCCATGGAGAAAAGTGTAGTACGGAGACAACATTAGATAATAGGTAAGAAGCCCCATGCCATGTTCTCGCCTTACGTACCTATTCGATGCCAGTGAAAAAGTCTGATGACTGTGGTGGAAGGAGCGAGGTAGAAGGGGTTGCCCAGGTGACGCGCCGGGTACCCAAAACAATCACCACCAGCACCCTGAGGGATCACGATCCCGTCTCCGCTACGTTTATTCATCCCATCCCTCGGCACTAGGCCATTGCCACAAGCAGGAAGGGTATATACCCCCCTTCAAGTCCAATTCCGTCACCAGCACAGCAGGCGCCCTCTAGGTCGGGGGTCAGGTCAAACTGTGGCGTGGGTGGTGGAATGGTTCAAGGTCGACGGTCAACTTTAACGCCAACCAGCCTACTCGACGACAGGCTTAGCGAGTACCCGAGTTCGAATCCCAGCATGAGCGCCAGAGATGTAGCCCCCAAATCGGCACCGGGGGGGTGAACTCTTTTGTCAGTTGGTATTGAGTGTTTTGATTATTTTTAGCTTCTGTAAACTTTAGATTAGATGTTTATGATGGATGTGACTCGAGGAGTTGATTCCGACATTTGGCATTCTGCGTTTCTCCCGCGACTTGTCCACGGTGGTCACCTGATGGTTACTGGTCTAGCGGCAGGTGGCTTGCAGTATGTCCTTATCCCATGGAGATGCTTTCTTATACACTCATATCCCAGAGCGTCTGCTGAATCATCGCCGAGTCTAGTAAAGTAAGGTCACGCAGCCCGAAGTTGAAGAGAGAACCATGGCCGATGTCTTTCTCGTCACGTCCAACTCTTGTGCCCATGATATGATTCTTTAGCCGAGGAAAAGTATGTTCGAGTCTCCATAACGACGGGAAAAGAGCTGTCACCTAAGAGCGGTCGGGCGAGAAAAGGGGGAGGGGGACTGCAATCAGAAGGTGACGCTTCTCATTGATTGCCTTTCATCTATGATATCCAGAATTGTCAGTGAAATGTAGTCGTCGCTCGGAAGACTAGGAATAGACCTAGAATTTCAACATGGATGTATCGTAACGGCTATCCTCGCCAAGACGGCCAAAGCCAGAGAAGCCCGCGACCTGAAGGCTACTGTGATGATGTCAGTACAAAGACCAGAGGCGCCAAGTCCGTCCGCATGCGCATCGAATGGAGCCGGGCCGATGGGGAACTTGGCTACGGGCCCAAACATGAAGTTGACGACTCTTGGTGCTTGAAATGTTCATTCGGGACTAGACGAGGTGTGTAGAAACATCCATGACTCCAAGCACCTATTATACATCGACGAGATAATGTGAAAACATCTCTTCTGGCCGCCCATTTGTGATAATGGGTATCTCATAGCGGTGAATGAGTCACGTACATCAAATTCTCGCGAGCAAACACCAAAGATATCCTCAGATGGAGCGACTTCGAAATACTGGCGTGTGAGCACCTTGGAGGACGGGGCAGGGCGAGAACCAGGGGACAAATACACTCGAAGTACCTTACACATCTTGGCGAATGACTTGAATGGCATGTATCTTAATGGCAAAAGGAGCAGAAAAGCAAAAGCTCAGGTGCCCAGTTCGTGAATTGAACTGGACCCCCTACGAAATCCTCCATCTATTGCGACTTCTCGAGATTTCATACCAAGTTCGTTACTAACGGACCAGGGCGTTATACCGCTCGACCATGGGGATCGATTGGGCTTGGTTGACGAAAGAGCGACCTCGATCTGGATATAAGGCAAGGCAAGGCAGGCACCAGGGAAGTCATAGGAGATAAAGAAAGAACGATCCTGTTAGAGGTGCGGGTTATGAATCGAGGCAGGTACGGTCACCGACGGGAGGCAGGTACGGTCAATGAGCCACCACCTCTCGCTACCTTCCTCATATGCCTCAGGTACCTAGCAGGAAGGAAATGGGAGGGTATTTCATCGTCCTCTTGTCTCATGCTATCACAAGCGAAAGGGGCAGGTGGTCAAGTGGTTAAGGAGGCGCCAGTGGAATCCATTCTTCCTTGATCGCCCTCAACCTTCGCTCAATGCTTTAGGTTCAATTCGCCATGAATGACCTTTTTTTGCCCTCTGTGAGTATTACGCCCCAGGAATAGCCCTCGAGTATCGAAAGTATGCGGCCTGGTGATATTCCAGTGCATGAGACGTTGAGAGCAAGAAATTATTGGGCTTTGCACTAGCCGTGACGCATCTGAATGCTGATGACAATGTGGCTTCAATGCTTCATATTATTGGCATACATATCTTCACTCCAAGATGAGAAACTAGCTGAAAGGCAGTTTTGGAGTCCTGGATAGGTAGCCCTGGACGTTTCATGGGCATCGTTAGTCGCAATTCACCGTGATCGGCGCCATGAAATTTAGGAGAGTAATTCTCTATTATTGCATTGTGGCAGCATGGTACCCAGATGATTTGTCTTTGTCCTACACCCATATGGTACAGTATCTCAAAACTCCTTCTCTTCCACAAAACTCGGGAGTTTGCCGTCCGTCTTCTTTCTGATATTTTACAAGTGCAAGGTACGGTGATCCCAGTCAATGCTCTTCCACCGTCTGGTACTGATGACTAGTACAAAAACCCCAAAACGCAATCATTTACTTCTTCCGTGTCTCACTCCAGAACTTCTGTCTCTCCTGCTCGCCTCTCTGCTCAGCGTACTTCTTAGCAGCCTTCTCCGCCTCGCGCTTGCGGCCGGCCTCGAGGTGGTTTCCGGCACCGCCCTTGGCGTTGTGGACGGTCTGCTTCAAGTTGTCGACGATGCCCTTGATGCTGCCGGCGTCAGCCGCAGGGGTTGCGGGGGCAGGAGTCGCGCGCGGGGCCTGGTAGTTCAGACGTGTGGGACCGGAAGCGATTCTGGTCGGGCCGGCTGTGGTGCCGATGGCAGGGCCGGGAGTGGCGATGGGTGTGAGGTTGAAGAGGGAGCGGAAGGCGGCCTTGGAGAAGAGCCAATTCTGGGCCACACCGATGAGACCGGTGATGAAGAAGTAGAACTGGACGCCGGCGGGGAGGTACGAGGTGAAGATTACGGAGAGGGGTCCGAGGATGTACATCATCAGCTTTTGCTGGGCCTTGGCTTGAGGCGTGGAGTACTTGGAGCCGAGCTGAAACTCGACATGTTAGCATCTAGATTGAAGCAAGCTGGGTCGCCTGGGTTTCACGTACCTTGACCATGGCAAACATGGCCATCGGACCGGCAATAGGCAGGAGGAAGTAAGGGTCAGAGACGGTCAAATCCGTGATCCACAGGAAACCACCAGTTTCCATGCCAGGGACGGGGATGCTGGCAGCGCCGTTGAGGACACGGAACATGCCGTATCCAAAGGGGATCTGGAGGAGACCCCAGAAGGCGTTGAGGGGGTTCACGCCGGCGCGCTTGTTCAGCATGGACAGGTCGCGACGGGCCTCAGTCATGGCGGCCGAGTTACCGCTCGCCATGGCCTCCTGCATCGCCTTGCGGGTCTCGTCGTAGGCCGGATCCTGGTGGAGCTTCTGCATCCTCGCCGAGGTGTCTTGGGACTTGAGGAGCGGCTTGAACATGATGAGACGGAGAAGGATGGCCGTCGCGGCGATGGAGCCCCACCACGGCATGCCGGAGAGGACGTGGACGTGTTCGATGGCCCATTGCATCACGCTCGAAGGGCCCCAGCCGAAGTCGAGGCCGAGGGTCTTGAGGAAGCCGATTTGTTCGGGGAGATCGAGGAGGGAGGCGGCATCGAGCTCGGGAAGGGAAGAGGTCGAGGGGGCTGCGGCCTCGGGGACGACGGGTGCGACAGGTGCGGCCGGTGCGGAAGGAGGGATAGATGAAGCGGACGCTGAGGCTGCGTCGACGGACCCTGAGGGCGCAACGGGGGTAGCCGGTGCAGCTGGTGCGACTGGTGACGGTGCTGATGGTGTCGGCTGGGGCTCAGACTTGTCCCAGAGGGAGATTGCTCTTCTCGTCTCGAGGGAGCCGCCGATGGCTACTGTGCCGGCAAGGCCACCTGGTCTGAAGTTGGTCGATCTCAGTGCCGCCCAGGGCGCACTGCCGTTGCGCATCGAGGTTCCAAATTGCCGTCCATCGCCGAGTCGTCTGGGTGCCCGGGAGATCTGGTCACTGCACGTTAGTACTTGATGCGCATTGGATTCCGAAGGCAGAGGGTGGGAGAGGAAAAATGTACACTTTGGCGGGTTATGCTGCTGGCCGCTCTCGTGGAGGGCAGCGAACGAAGAACACCTCTGCTGGGCAGCATGGTGGGCAGTTTCTGAGGGAGGAGGGCTGGGAGGGTGTTGAGAATTGCAGACTGACGCTCCAGTCAGCGTCTTTCTGTCTTCAGCGCGAGTTGCTGGAAATTTTTGGGGACCTCGCCATTGGAACCGCAGACGCGCCGGGGAAATGTCGGGTGGGACGGGAAGCGGGTCCAAGCTCCGGCTCCGTTCCGCGGCCAGGGGAGAGTCACTCAGGTTGAGTCTGGGGGACGAGACTCAGGAAGGTCAGCATTGGATATCCATGACACCGGAAGGATCGATTGTAGCTGTGTAGTTATGGGGAAATTTGCAAAGCTGACGTTGTTGGCTAACCATCAATAAATGAGGGAACATGCTGTATTTTGGTTTCTTTTGATCCTTGCATATGTACGACCCCCGAGTCTTGAACTCGTCACTGTAACCTGGTCCACGCCTACACCATCTGTCCAAGGGACGTACTTTGTAAATGCTTTTACTCTCCCCGTACGCCGATGTATGTAGCCTTGCCTAGGTAAGTAATATATCTGGCTGGGCATTGTTTGTAATGATTCCGACACCGCTTGCAGCAGCTTTCTGTCACTGAGGGATGCCGTCGTTTCTTGCCATCTTCCTTAGAGCAGCTTGCGACCTCACACGCGGTCGGAAATATCCCGTCTTCATAGGTGGACTCGTGCTTTTATTCCCACCCGCCTAGTCACTCCAAGCTCGTCAAATCGTCGAGACCGGTAGAGGGCCTCCGGTGCTTGTCGCGAATCTCAAGGCCGGGGCCAATAGCGTGCGCCGTTCTCCGGGACAAGGGGAACACCTGTAATATGTGTGTTAGATACTATTGCAACATGTGGCGCCATCTTCGGCTGAAATCTCGCAGTATGCGCATGCTCTGGGGATGCATGTATGCGAGCGTCTAACAACTCCGTTTCATACCTTGGTGCCGCCCCATCCTAGCCTGAAGGCAGCCTCGTGTGCAAATAGCTCTCCGAATCCCAGCATCATGCCATTGATAAAGGGGAGGAACAGGTTGATAGCGGCCCCGCGAACCAGGCCCCAGAACGTAGGCGGCTTGTAGACGATGATGGGCGAGTTGGACGAGGGAGGTGATTCGGTGAGATCCTCGCCTTGGGAGTACTGCTCGCTGTCGGATCGGATTGTCACGCCGGACTCGGCAAGGGGGTGGAGGGAGTCGTCGGAAGCCATCGTCGACGCTGGCTTGGGGGTTCGGAAGGTAGTGATCGTGGGGATGATGGGAAACTTGGTCGACGAGCGGGTTTACCGAGATTCGGCGCAGGGCAGTTCGATGATGGGACGGGGAGCTACGGCTACGGCATCACCTCGGAAAATCACACCGCAGCTGCCGCCTCCCCCAACGTGTTGCTGCACTGCGTCGGCTTGGAGTCTGCGGGGTCTGTGCGTAAGTATTCGACTTTCCCCGTCGAAGCTTCAGCCACAATCTAGAGAGATTAGATAAGTCGCAAATGTGGCGGTGTACCTATGGTGGGGTTGGGGCAGTCGGTATGGGCGGTGGCTCCTCCCTCACGTCACAGGGAATGTGCTAGACGGCCAGGTACCTTTCGTTACGGATGCAGCTCCAATGCCCATTGAAGCAGTTACGACCACTAAGCTGCCTGCTATTCGTCTCCCACTTCGCCTTTCAATCACTGCACAGCGCAACCTTCAAAGAAAACTGAGCTTCCAAAAGACCACGGATTCACTGGTGATATCTCTACCTACCTTATTAAACGACCACACCGTTACACACTAGGTTAAGAGACCACACCATTCTCTTTTCATCTTCCGTCCATTTCATCCTTTCTCATCGACACCTCACCATCCCCCGCCATACCACACCAGTACCGTCAACATGTCTGGGAGCTCCAACAGCGCTTCGCGCAACAATATACTTCGCGACTTCAAGAGCCTGACAGGCATGCCCGAAGCTAGGGTAAGGTGTTTGGAAAGAGCGTGGTGAATTACCTGACTAACTTTACGTTAAGTGCACAGAGTACCTCGAATCCGCAAACTGGGACATCGGCCTTGCCGCCCAAGCCTACTACGCTGACCACGACTCCGGTGAGGAGGAAATCGAACCCGTTGCGCAGGATCAAGCTTCTGCTCCTGCTCCCGCCGAATACACCGGTCCCCGAACTCTCGATGGACGACCCGCGCCCGAGTCGGTCGGTAGAGCGAGCACCGTAAAGAAGGCAGCGCCTAAGAAGAAGGGTCTCGCAACGCTTAGCTCTATTGGAGGAGGCCACGCACACGACGACGATGACGATGAAGATGACGAGGACGACGATGACAGAGGCCGCGGCGACCTCTTTGCTGGCGGTGAAAAGTCTGGACTGGCTGTGCAGGACCCGTCTCAACAAGAGGGTGGTGGTGCTAAGAAGATCATCAGCGACATCCTCGCCAAGGCCAAGGCGTAAGTTCACAATGCAAGAGAATGCTACGAGGACGACAGGACTGACGCAGATCAGGAACGCATCCCGGCCAGAGACTGCATCGCCCGCGGGCCCTTCGCGCTCCGGTGCTTTCCGCGGAAGCGGCACCACGTTGGGTGGCGAGGGCTCCGAGAGCCGCAGTATTCCCGACCCTGATGCTCAGGAGGGTGCGGGTGGCTCAGCGGGCGCGACCGGCGAGCCTCAGGAGCGTACACTGCACCTGTGGCAGGATGGCTTCAGCATTGACGATGGCGAACTTCACCGATTCGACGACCCCGAGAATGCGATGGATCTCAACATGATTCGGGCTGGTAGAGCCCCTCTGCACTTGATGAATGTTCGCTACGATCAACCGGTCGACGTGAAGCTTCATCAACACCAGGAGAACTACCACCCATTGCCCAAGACATACAAGCCGTTCGGTGGAGAGGGACGCCGGCTCGGTAGCCCCGTTCCCGGTGAGGGCAGCTCTTCGTCCACCACAGCCGCCCCTGCTGCTTCGGCCTCGGCCAGTGCCAGCTCGACTGGCCCTCAGCAGGCTGTCGATGAGTCTCAGCCTACCCTGACCCTCCGTATCCAGTTGCCCAATGGCACCAGACTGCCTGCTCGCTTCAACACTACCAACACCATCAATGACGTCTACGAATTCGTGCAGCGCGCTTCTGCGGATACCCGCAACAGGTCCTGGGTATTGGCCACGACTTTCCCCAACAAGGACCACACCGATCGCAGCTTGGTGTTGGGCGAGATGTCTGAGTTCAAGAAGGGCGGCACCGCGGTCGTCAAGTGGGCTTAATGCACGAGGCAGACGGAAAAGAAAATGGCGGGAACCGGGCGGCGTTTGGTACTTTGGGGCCCTGACCCGCATTATAGCCGGGTGGCTTTGGGTCTGGGCATTTGAGGCCGTTTGCCTCTGCGTGGAATGTAGACTTTGCTTGAGAAATAGACACGCCCACATGAAACAGTAACATCAGGTCGGCAAGTCCTTTATTGCTTGCTGCCAAAGTACCTTTGTGCTAAGCGTACATGTACTTATTTGTTGTACAGTTTTGAGGCCCTTCAACGCCCCTTCAAATGGTATCATTAATCATCCCTTGCCATACGCCGCTGCGGCAAACTGTTTGTTGCCGATACGTATAAACCAACTAGAAACAGATCCGCGAGGTTCGCATTATTTACAGCCCCTCTTTGGAATACTCTCATGCTGTGCTGCCGCCGCCTTGCGAGATCATGGTAGCCGGACCGTCTAGGAATTTGAAATGCTCAATCGCGATCTGGCAGTTGAGCATGGCGGCGTTGAACCTAGCCTCGCCGGGTGGCAGAATGACCATCAGGTAGGTATTCGTCGTGAACTTGAGGATGAAGAGGTTGAAGCGCGTGCCGGCTTTATGCTCCATGCGCACAAATTGCTCTGCGTTGCGCGGGGTGCCGGTGAAGCGGCTGATGGTCTGCTTGAAGTGCTTCATGATGTTGGACATGCGCTCCAGCCTGTCCTCGGTGGGGTTCCGCTGGCCTTCTTCCGAGGTCCAGGAGGAGACGGCGAGGAAGGAGGTGCGCTCGAAGAGGAGGAGCTCCTCTGCCTCGATGGCGACGCCGAGATTGGCGAGGTTGCGTTCGATCGTGGCCAGGTTGGGGACGAGGTCGTGGATGATGCTCGCCCAGGCCTTGTAGAGGCTCTGGTCCCAGATGCTGGTGGCGAAGGGAGTGATGTCGAAACCGCCGGCGGGGGGCGCGGTCGAGGGGCTGGTGGGGTCGTCGGCGGCGTCTGGATGCTGCTGGTGGAGGTAGCCGATGCTGTTTGCGTACTCTGCGGTGCGCTGGCGGACGACGCGAACGCGGTCGTCGTAGACGGATTCACGGTGGGCGGGGACGACGAGGTCCATCTTGTGGATGAGGACGTAGATCTTGGCGCCCGGGGAGAATTGGAGGAGGGCGGAGATGATAGAAACGTAGGTTGCAAGGTCGCGGTCAATGTCGCGGGACTCAATATCGAAGACGTAGATGAGGACGCCGACGTTGGAGAAGACATGGACGCGCTGCTGGGAGAGGTAGTTTTCCATAAAGGCCTCTTGGCCGCCGCAGTCCCAGAGGTTGAGGGTGAGGTTTCCGAGGAATTTGACGTGGGAGAGGTCGATGTCTATTGTTGCGCCGCTGTTTGGTTCCGTGGTCAGTCTCTATACGGACGAAATAGCTAAAGGAACCACCAGGTATAGGAGAAGAGGGCTTACAGTCTCCGGGTATCACGGGCAATGTAGTTGCTGAAGATGATGCTTCGCATGCTCGACTTTCCCGAGCCACTCTTTCCCATGAGTAGGACCTTCTTCTTCTTGGGCTTCTTGACCTCAGCCAGTGGCGTGTTGCCTGGGCCATTGGTATAGCCGGCGTCAGCCATGTTGTATATAGGCTACCCTGTGCTCGCGATCTGGAGAGCTCTTCAGCACGTGGTGAGGAGGGGTTCGTGGATTGGGTGTGGTGGTGTTCAGCAATTGGGAATTTCGGTGTCGTCGGATTCTTGGTTACGCGATTTGTTGCCGGGGAGTCCTGGGGCTTGCGTAGAGATCGAACACTTCTGAGGATCAAAACGAGTGACTGGTATGCGGTGCTAAAGAAGATGGCTCGATATCGATTGAGTTTGTGTAGCCTCGTTGCGATGTTGAAATCCCCGATGGGCTTGAATGTTGATCATGGCCGCCTGTGGGATGGGCTGTCGCGCATTTCCAGGAGCCTCGCAGTACGTACCTTTATGGTGACCTCCAGGTGAACCGGAGCTTGCGCGCTCCGATA